CCCCCCCCCCGCTCCGTGAACGTCTCTGGGAAATAGTGTGTAACAGCTCAGGAATGCCGGTTTCGAAACCCGCTCCGTGCATATCGTTGCTACCTCGTCGCACCGCAGGATGAGCCACCCGCTGCTGTAACACCGTCATCTTCCATATTTTTCTTTTCGCCTCCTCCACCCCTCCCGCATCTTTGTCCGCGCCTCCCTCCCCCCGGTGGCGCCGTCGTGCGTGTGTTCGACTGTCTGAACTGCCACGCGGCTGCGCAGGGATTTGCTAATGGTGTGGGCGGCAGCAACATCGATCATGTGAGAGACAGAGAGCACGTGGGTGTGGAAAACGAAGTGTTTCGCCGATGCAGCTGCCGAACAAATTCTTCGTTCTCTTCTTTTTTTAGTTGAAGGAGCACGAGTAGCCCTGGTGCTTGTATCGGGCTATTTGTCGAGACTAATGCTCTTCGATATGGAGCATGACTAACCGCTGTCTAGCTGCGACTTGGTCTGCAGCGGGCATGTCATAACCGGTGTCTGGCACACTTATCGTGACCTGTGGGCACACACCGTTGTAGGGTCAGGAGTGGACTTGGAGCGCTGGCCTCTGATCCGCCGCCCGCCTAGCTTTTGCGTTTGCGTCCTCTCTCGGCCGTCAGAAGCTAGTCTCTGCCGCCATCTGCCCACTGCTGTCCTTCCGTCTCTTCACGTGCTCTATAGCTCCGCTCGTTCTCGTACACGGCTTGCTACAGCAAATACGTGCTGTTCTCCACGGAAAGACAGAAAGAGTATCGGAGGTTCTTTCTCTCTGGTGACCCCGGGTTTCCGAGAGAAGAGGAGACATTGGATTATTCTGGGTAGCAGTAAATGTCCGTTTGTTGTGTCTGTGCGATAATGAAAACATTCTCTTAATGCCGCTGTGCCCTTCTCGCGCGAAAAGTTGAAGGCAAGCGCCGCGGGAATAATAGGTGGAGTAAAAAGACAACACTGTGTTTTTTCCTACCTATGGTGTGACCCCGGCCGGCTGTTGCCCAAAATAAGTAGACGGGGGCGACGTACGTACACAATGTCCCTGCCTTTGAAGCTCTACACATGCCCTCAAATAGCTTGCTTACGGGAAGTACTTGTTGCAGAATTTCGGCGTTATTGTCTATCTAACCCTTCGGTGTCCAACCTTTTTGCCCGCGTTTCCACTTCCCTTTTCTTTTCCCCTCACCCCCCTGTTCCCTGTCCCGCCGGCGGTGTCTTGCTCTACACGATGTTGTGTGACCCGTGCTGCCTTCCTTTATGGCCTCTCGTCGCCTCTTAGGATGGTCGTGCCTCCTGTGGGATGGATCAGGTACGGTACATACGACACCGATGTTGGCGAGAGAGTTGGCAGTAGCCGGCCTGTTTCGCGAGATGATTGGGTACCAGAGATTTTGGAGGAGAGGGGTCGAGGACTGCTTTGACTCCCCTCTCCGAAGTGCAACGCAACGCACGTCCGTTGCTTTCGTTGGCAACAACCCGCATTTCCGTAGGCATTAATTGGGCGAGGTATACCTCTCTCTCTTGCCCGCCTCACGCCCCTCCCAAATCTCATCGTGCCTCAATTCAACGTGCGTGTGTTGCTTGATTGGTCGCTCATTTGTCTCCTGCTCTTGCCCCTTTTTTCCTTCCTCATTGTTTCACCCCCATCCACTTGTGTGCGCAACCCGAAACCGTTTTGCGGGTAGCGCAGGCCACACCCGTACTCAGATTTCGTGTGGAATCGCCGTCGGTCTAGGGCTGACTGAAGGACTGCAGCGTGATAGACGAGGGGCATGAGATAGATGGAGGGACGTATCGACAACAAGACATGGGTGGAGGAGGGCTAGACTATTGGTAACGCACGTGCGCCAGAGCGGAGCGGAGATCTTTCACGAAAGCCGGAACGGATATCAAACGGAGCTATCACCGGAGGTATTTACTGCACGGGTGGTGCGCCCCAACGCGAACGGAGGCTCACAAGTTGTGTCGGGACCCACGGGAGACTGACTGATCGACCCCCAAGACAGCGAAGACAGCGTAACTAAAACGTCGGTCGTCACGGGATGCTCGTTCTCTCTTCACTACTTCGCTGCTGCAGCAGCTCCCAGCCGCCCTGCTGCCGGTCTGGTTGAACGCGTCAGCAAGTACTTCGTGGCTCAGATGGCTCATGGAGAGGCATGGTAGGATATATAGCTCTCGCGTATTGGCGGCTTGCTTGTTGGGGGGGCGTCGGGGGCAAGGGAAGAGACAGGTCTGCTTCTATGTTGTGAACAAAGCTGCCCGTCTGAGTAATATGGACCCCTTACGGGACAGATGGACTATAACATCAAGTGGTGATCGGTATCTCTCTGTGCGTGAGGGGGTGTTCCGCTCCCCGTCTTCCCGAGTGTGGTGGACCTTTTCGAAGCCTTGAATGCTCTTTGGGGGGGTACGACGACCTACTTGCCGTCAGACGACAGCATTGCGGTAACGTGTCTTGGAGCTGTTACTGGGTATTGCAAGTTGAATTGTGCAGTTAGAGCGCGCAGGGGGGGGGGGGGGGGGGGGGCCCCCGGGGGGGGGGGGAA